CTGTATGATCAGCAATTATTACTCTGTAAATTATCAGTAGCCACGAGGTCCTTCCAGGGACATCACATCACGGTGGGACTGTTAGATTCCTGTCTACCTCCAGCTGTCACAAAGAACCCGAGTTGACAAGATAAAAGCAGCAGCATGAAACAGGACAGGAGGATGGAGACCTCCCCTCCCCCTGGGGAGTTGTTGGAATGGGAAGGCTGAGCCAAGTGAAGGAATTGAAGCTAGTGGGCCCCCAGGCCAGCAGGAAGGGATGGCAATGCCCTAATGTGCTGGCTTAAGGGAGAAGGGGCACTGGAATGGAAGAACTAGAAGGAGGGACAGAATCACAAAACTGTAGTGCCTCGTGTTCAACACCCCCCCTTCTCCTCCCTCCTCTCCCTCCCCTCTTGTCCCTCTGCCTTCCAGGCACTTGCATGGTCACAGATACTGTTAAGATTTTCTAGTCTGTGGGCCTCAATTTTCAAAAAGGAAAAGGTCTACATCAAACCGTAGAGCTGTGAAGGACAGAGAGGAGTTGCTGCAAAACGAAGCACAGATCTCCCTACCCAAGTTCCTCGCCTACTGCAACTGTAATATGTGTCCTCTACAGTTATCTAGTATATCAGGTCCCAGTAAGAGCTTGCTTGACCAGACCTGCGAGGCCAGAGGAAAAGCTTAAATGCCACTGAGCTGAACACTTTCTCTGCCTCTCCTGGTTCTCATTCAATTCTCTCAAGTTCTCGAAAGCGACCCCCGGGGTCTCCTCGATCCTACTGTATAGGTCTGAAAGCAAAGCCCACAGGCTGCGTGGATGCTCCTCCTTCTTCCCTACCCTTCTTGCAAACAAATTTACTACTCTCTACTGAGCCAGTGAATCGAGCGGATGCCACCCAGGGAAATGAAGTTCCAAGCACCTGTAGGCAGTGGGCTCATTTCCCGGAGTCCTGCTGCACATGGGATCCTGTGTTAATAGAAGGAACCAAGGCCCCACACCAGTGCCAGCAGGGTAGAGAATGGCAGGCATTCTCAGTGATTGGGTAATGGGAGATGGTCCTCCGGGCTTCAGCTGGTGTCACAATCCAGGAACACCATGCTTGGGGCAAAGGGCAGGATCTAATATCCATGTTTACCAATACAGCCCCCAGTAGAAAATCGCATTTAGAAGTGAAGTTTTTAGGCCTCAATTCACACCTGGGTCTTTTTGAAATCATGGAAATCTGTTTCTGGGCATGTAAGAAGAGCTGGGCACAAGGCTGGCACACTGAATTTAGTAATCCCAGCTACACCTGGAAGGGCTAGGCTACCTATCTCTGGCCTTGCTTTTGGCACTCAGTGTAATGAAATGTTGTAGCCCATAAAACTATGCAGCAGAGCTGGGAGCTGCATCTGTTTGTTCTGCACTCAAAGAAGCATGATGGCATGTGGCTAAGGCTGAGGAACCAACCAAAGGGAACATTCTCCCCAATAAGAGCCAGGCAGGATAATTACTCTAACGGTGCCTCACAAGCAAAGATTCCTGAGGATGAGGATTATTACCAGAAATTCTGTCTGAGGAAGACCCTGCAAGGAAAAGGGGCTATTGAAACTCAGGAGAGGTGGGACAAGGAAGACCCAATGGCTTTGGCATCAATAAGGACTCATACTTAGAATGTACTCTTGTATTCAGTAGATATTCAATGGTTTCTGTTACACTCCCTCCTGTTCTCGGCCAAGCAATTTCCATATATTCCCATCCCGGGAAATTTTGCCATACTGGCCTCTAATGTATTTGTCCCTGCTCATGTCATAACCTAAGGACATTTATACAGACAAGCTTATTGTCCTTCGGATATTTCTGCTTGTTTGGCAAGGAGTATCACAGCAAGACGGAATGTGTGGACACCTAAGAGTTCTGAGGCCTGAAAAAGCAAGTCACCAATTGAATAGACAGTGGAAACCAACCAAACAAACCAACCAGTTCTTCTGCAATGGGAAGAGACCTCCTTGCAAACACTGCCCCCTTGGCAGACACTTGTCAATCCCAGGGACAGAAGATTAACGCCTGTCTGCAATTCACAGCAGGCTGGCGGTGAACTACCTCATAGACTTTTGATTTGGCCATTCAGTGATCCCTCAACAAGAACACTTTTCCCGGATTAGATAATTTAATCAGTATCTGTCCAGTAGCCTGCGGGGAAAAGCCATCGCCCACTCCTTCCTATACAAGGGCTGAGTAATCCAGCCTCCTTATGCCACTCAATCTAAAGCGGCTGGGTGACTCACCCTCCCAGAGAGGTCTCTCTAAGGTATTTAGTTTCAGAAAAAAATATCTCTATGTTCCCTCACTTAGATGATTCCTCACAGTTTCAATCTTCAGAAAGCTCTTGGTTTTTATTAGCCTTTGTTGCATTTCAATTCAAATATATGTGGCACACATCATCTTGGCAGGAACGCACATACTTCACCCAGCAAGCAGCAGCCAGCCATCTTTCTAGCTGGCTCTCCTGGTGATCATGTGTAGTAAGGGGCCACAGAAAACTACCATCTATGGGGTTCCTCAAAAGACAAGTCTTTACATTGTCACTGATGGCTCAGAACATCCCCAAACTACCCTCAAGCCTTACACCCACTCCCAGTTATTTTGACCCTCTATCAATATTCTTTATCATATTCCTAAGGCAATCTGGATTCCCATTATTTTCTACCGGGGCACTGAAGCCCTACTCTTCCTTCCAAAGCTGCAGTATGCCCCTGACACCTACTCCCAATATGCTCTCCTTGCTTCATCCTAAAGCCCATCCCATCGCTCTTGTATACACTCTGGATCATAACAGCAAATGCTTGCTTTAGTAAATCCTATTCCTTGCCTCCCACATAGCTTCTCGTTCCTGATGACGAGCTGCTCGGCAGACAGATAACAACTAGGCTATGCAGTTATTAAGGGCAGGCTTTAAGATGACAAAAGAATACATTTTAAAATAAATCCCACTTGAAAATCAGCTTCCCTCCCAACTCAATTACATCTAGACCTCCTGCTCCGAAGCTCCTATAACCGGGAGATTCCAGTTCCCACGGGCTACAGTATGTTGCCTTAGCAACACGGAAGGCCCAGGCACCTGAAATGAGGAGTGAAGCACACCACGCTCCCCCTCATTCAAGGACTCAGAGTGGCTGGTAGGGTACAAACAGGGGGCTCATGTGACTTGAGTATAAGCAGTCTAAAAGGAAGCAGAAGACCCATTGTCAACATTTCACAGGCTGTGGGAGCCTTGCAATTGGAGCTGAGCTAAAAGAATGGGGTGAGAGATAATGAAGGAACAAGCAGACAAGACTCTAGAGTTCCTAACTCAGAAGGATGGCACATACCCGTAGCACTTAAGGATGGCATGTACCTATGTGCCAAGCTGATGTCAATAGCAGTTTCGGGAGACCACCATACACCTCAATCACATCAGAGTGGCTGAGTGAGATCCCCTCTCCTTCTGGCCTCTGAACAGATGAAAATCTAAACCAAAAGCAATTTTTCTTATAGTCTTGCTTAGACCAGTACCAACTATTCACCTCTAGCCCTCAACCAAGTGTCACAGGTTTGGACAATTCCTCAGAGACACCATAAGCGAGCCTCAGCCTCCTTGACATTGGCAATCACACTTCAATTCTATTGCGTGTGGCAGCATAGTCATTAACCTTCTTGGTAGCACCACAAACTGTTAGCTTCTAAGATGTCATCAATCTATACGTATTGGCCATCCCTAGACTTGATATGACCAACTTATAACTCCATCTTCCAATGCAGGATGGCTGAGAGGCCCTATTCTGCTCATTATACCGGGACTCCAGGACACAGTGGCCTTTCCCCGGAGAATCAGCTCTCCCATGGTGCTGTCACTGCCCATTTCCTGTGCTGCAGATCTCATTTCTCCACTATTCCACAGTTCACCCCTCTTCCCCTATCCTTTAGGAAGGAGATCAAAGTTCTCTACCCAGGTAGTGGTGCATCATTATCTTCTAAACGTTGTCTACCTCTGCATTGTCCCTAACTTGTCTACAAGTCTCTCTGATAAGAGCTTATGCATCACCTGCTAAGGCTTCAATTTTGACAAGGATGGCCATTATTTCTGAAGCACTATCACTGGTGGAGACATCCCCCCTCATGCACACACACACAAAGTATATGGCAAAGGTTAGGTGTGATTACAAGAGCCTGTTCCACAAGTAGACCAATCAATGAATACTTTCATTCTTTCCCAAGAGGACTGAGTTCCTACACATAAACACTAGCCTCTCTGGCCCCAACAAGCACATGGTCCTCCTGCAAAGAACATTTCTGGAAAAGCTTACAAGGCAGCTGAGTAGACCAGGCACCGAGTATCAGGTTCCGCTCTTCCTTCCTACCCATTTATAAGCCCCCGCCGGGCCCATCCAGATGCTGTCTGAGGGCTGTCTAATGAATACTCTTCCAAGCCCTCCACTGTTATACCGACATCTTAGCTGTCCATCAGTGCCACTGGGAATACGCTTCTGGACTGTCAGGGATGCATCAAACGAAAAAGCCAAGCCATACCTTGAGTCATTCTCCACTCTTGGCTCTCATTTCCCTCTTCATCGAACTCTAGGTGGTTTTGTGTCAACCACGAGTCTGGCAGACACCCTGGCTATACCTTCTGGGTCCAGCCTCAGCCACAATTCACATTTGTCTCAGAAGCTAGGCTACTTCTCAAGTCTGAGGAAACCTGTGGTCCCCCTTAGCATCTAGGCAGCTCTGCACTAATCCATAGACCTGGAAATAATTCCCAGGAACCCCTGCTGGACTCAGGTCTGTGATATTAGCACTTCCTGCCTGAATCTTCTCTGCCTCCTCCTGGAAATTTCTCAAGATCATCAGCATTAATAGCAGCATCAAGAAGAGAAGCAGGGAAGGGCTTCCCCTGGCAGGCATCCCTTGCTGGGAATGGGAGGAACCAACTAGAGCTCTTGTTGTCCTCAGAGACACGGAGGCGAGAAGACTAGGATGTGAGGACCTGGGGGCTTACCTTGCGCATGTCTTTACCAAAGGTCTCACTGTAGGTTGTGCCAAGGATTTCAAACTGGACATAGGGATTCGAGCTGTCTTCCCGAAACTCCATGACTCCTGTGAGGCCAGTGATGTGTCCCTGCAGAGGAGGAGGAAAAGTTTGGTGTGGTAGAGAATGGAGTGACCAAGAAGGGAGCAGATATGAGTGGCCATAGCAAGGACAGAGCCATTAACAGTCCTAGGACATCAAAGCAAGATAAATGTCTTAATCTTACAGAAGAAACCCCAAAGGCTTTTACCTGCCATTACTACAGTCAGTGTGTTTACAGCTATTGCTATGAGCCAGCGCTGTGCTACTCTTGAAATTTAAATGTGATTGTATTTGTCTCTCTACAGTTCAGTGGGAAGGAGCATTAGACAGTGTGAGATTGAGCAAGTTATGATGCTCTCCCTTTTGCTTTTCAGCGTAGGGTGCGGACCTGACCCAGTCTTCTTGCCTGTGGCTTCAGGGAGCATGGAGAACACGATAAAGTACACTGGTCCAGGAGAGGCCTTGTTCTCTCTGAGCTGCAGTAAACTTAAAGCACCACTGGGACATGTCCATTGCAACTGAAACCATGCACAATCTGTTGTGGCTAAGGCTTCTGGCATTGTAGATTCCCCTAAAAGCCCATCTGGAGCCCCTAAAAGCCTGTTACTCTAACAGTTCTCCTGTGGGTTACCCCAATTCACTTTGCACCTCTTCTCTGATACACTGCCGCTCTCCATCACATAAGACACACTACATGTGCAGAATGCATAGACACACATGGGCACGGATGGATACACAGTCACACATACATCTGCATGCTGGGGTCCTGGATAAGCAACATATGACCATACCACCAAGATGAGATTTTTCTGAAAAGTGGCAGCTTGCATGAAAGAGTGTTGGGCAGATATAGGATGGGCAACTATGACTTCACTTACTTGTGACTTTGGGCAAGTCATTTACCTTCTGAAGCCACATCTCTTGAAAGCATAGAGACATTTGAAGAACATGTCCCTGGACCACAATTTATCAGCTTTCAAAAAGGCAAAGAAAGAGTGACAAAAAGAGAAGCCAATGAAGAGGATCCATGCAATCTCTCACACACACACATACACAGACACACTACAAAATAATTTCATACCAACTTAGACAGGACACATCAAGGGACTTGTCTCTAGCCTTGTACAAGTTTACAAAGCTGTGCCCTCGACACATACCTTTTTAATTGTGTCTAACATGGATCTCCCTCCATTCCATGGCTTGGTAGACTTTCTTATGCAGTTAAGGCTTGCCATACTGTGCCATTTCCGGTCCTCCAACTTCCTGTGGAAGGCGTTGGCCAGCATCAGAACACTGTCATACAGGTAGAGATTGGAGATCTGTAAAGAGAAAGAGAGTGAAACTCTTTCTTCTGCTACATTTCCAAAGAATGAGGTGAGGAGCAAAAGCCTGGGGTGGTGTGGAAAGCAGCAGTATCTTCTCCAGTTCTGTGAGCTTTGTGTGCAAAAAAACCCTGGCTCCATGGTATTTTCTTTTCTTTTCTTTCTTTCTTTCTTTCTTTCTTTCTTTCCTTCTTTCTTTCTCTTTCTTTTCTTTCTTCTTTCCTTCCTTCTTCCCTCCCTCCCTCCCTTTTTTTTATTTTAGCAGCACAACCAAAGAAATGGTTACATTAGGCTAAGAGAATACCTAATCTCTCTCAGGAATAGAGGTAGGGGTACATCCACATAGCAACAAGGAAAAACAGTGTGATCAGCATCATGACTGAGGTCTACAAGCAGGTACATCACCTGTTAAGATAACAGGACACAAAGCAGTATAAGATAAAGATGAATGTGCTAAGTGATGGCCTAATACATGTAAAAGCATACAAGTATAGAGGATCAAAGCCTCCACTGTTGATGGAGCTGCGGGCTGCTTCCTGGCACCCGGCCGCCCGCACGGCTAGCTTTATCCGAAATAATTACACGGAAACTGTATTCTTTTAAACACTGCTTGGCCCATTAGTTTTAACCTCTTATTGGCTAGCTCTTACATATTGATCTAACCCATTTTTAATATTCTGTGTAGCACCTCAAGGTGGCTTACCAGGAAAGATCTTAACCTGTATCTGTCTGGAGTGGGAGAATCATGGCGACTGCCTGACTCGGCTTCTTTCTCCCAGCATCCTGTTCAGTCTTCTCTGCCTACCTAATTTTTCTGTCCTATCAAAGGGCCAAGGCAGTCTCTTTATTTAACCAATGAAATTAACACAAAACAGAAGAATCTTCCCCCATCACTCCACAGAGGTCTTAAAGGCCATCAAACTTTTCTGTTAAGGACTAGATAGTAAAAACCAGGCTTTGAAGGTCCTACAGTCTCGTCTGACCACTGCTCAACACTGCTGTTAAAGCCTGAAAGAATCAAGAGGTGACTCATAAGCACATGGCTCCAAATAAACAATGTGCTAGATTCAGCCCGAGGGCCAAGGTTGGCTGACTTCTCCATCCAATCTGACGGTGCTAACAATATGATCGGAAAGGATCAAGAGGAGGCCACTGATGCAGCCATGCAGAGCCTTTTAGTATAAGCTAAGGAGGAGCAGGAGGGAGGAGCTGGAGAGACGGATGGCATTGATGGAGCTATGCACAGAAAGCTGGTGATTGAGCCTGGACATAGGCAAGACCACCCCAGCCACTGATAGATCCAGAGTGACTAGGAGCCTGGATGGGCCGTGCTATCCTGGATGCATCCAAGATTTGTCAATTAGATTGGCCGATGTCATTGAAACTGACCCATAGAGGAAACAGCTCCAGCACAGAGCTTGTGAGAGTTATGAGTGTGGGGAGCTGAGGAAGCCCTGAGTGGATGTAAAGAAAACAATAATAATAACAAAGAAACAGATAAAGCCCGAAATAAATCTGTTTTGTCAGCACAGGCATAGCCATGTCTAGGACAAATGCATCAGACCTGTGGGAAGCTGCCAAAGCTCTCCCCAAACAGGCCAGGCTTAGAATTGACCAAGCTTTCCTCTGGTTCAGGTGCAAATGTGGCACTGTATGCAAGTACAAGTGTTCACAAACTATCGACCAGTGTGTTCAAAACTAACAACTGTAGCTTCTTCCCCACAGTGTTCACAGTCTGAGAGTACCTTGCTTGCAGAGACCTCATCCTCTGACTAGCTAACATCATAAATGCTGTACATAATAAACGCACTGGGGTTCTAGGTTGTTGTTGTAGGTGGTACCACTCCATCAGAGCCCCTGACCCCAGCATTTCTGTATGTGTATCTGCCCTTTCTTCATTCCCTCCTCATCCCAGGCAGGTTTCCATGGACATGGCAAATGAGAAACTGGAATACTGCTGTAAAGAGTAGCATTGATGTGACAGAGCCAGCCTCTTCATCAATCCAAAGATGGTAGAGGTTTGGCTCACCCCCTGGCTTTGGATGAGCTGGAAGACTGGGTACCATAGTCTAAGGAAACCTGAAGGGGCCCATCCATATAGAGGAGAGAAGCCTTGTTCTCAAGAAATTCTCCTCGTGATACTTCATCCTCCAAGAGGACATCAAAGCACAAAGGAGAAGAGAAAAAGTAGAGATGTGAGTGTCTGCGTGTGTGTGGAGGGGGGAGAACATATACTCTTAGACAGGTTTGGGGTCCTACATTGATATCTTGCATAATCAGTCAGACAAATTGGGTCAAAGGGACCAATCTTTGCACCCCAAAGTAATAAGAAGCCTGTTAAAAATATTTCAGAAGAACATCACTGGCTATGAATGGAGAGAAATAGGATGTAACATTGACCTCACAGGACTCCTGAGAACAAACAGGCTCCTTGTACTATAAGAAGAGCCCTTGCTACTTCTACCTCATCATTCACCCTTCCCTAACTACCCCAGGACCTCATGTATTATTCTCTGTCATTAATCCTAACATGAAGTCACAGAAGCAGATTCCTACATAAAAACTTGAGCAGGATCCATCCCTCACAACTGAAGCTGAAGTCAGAAGTAGACCCAAGGAAAGAGATGTAGAACATCAAAAATGCCTGCTGTATTATACCTCTACAAGCTCAAACTAGCTAGCTCATCCTCTAATAACACATCTAGACTGAGCTGATCACCTCCTCTATGCCAGCTAATAATGAAGAGTTTGGGTCTGTCTGCCACTGAGCTGTGTCCTTGCTGTGATTTCCATGGATTTCATGACATAGGAGTGAAAACTGGATGGATACTAGAGAAATGACCAGAATGTGCTCATACGATTGTTCCTGCTACCATAGCAGAGGTCCCAGCCTGAAGGGAAGCTACATGCCAAGGTCATGGCTGTCACTCTTCAGATGGCTGAAGCACACAAATTTGACATCAAATACTCCCACCACTGGGACACCCACAGCGAAAGTGATAAAAAAGACTATGTCCCCAGGATTTCAAGCTTAGAGGAACATTTTATCAATAAACAAGACTAGCTTCCTAACCCTGCCGGCAAAACAGCCCTCAGAAGCACCGACCTCTTCAGGGTTGTACTGATGTTTCTTCTCCACCTCTAAAATACAGTCTTATAAAGGAGATGTTCTTACAAGGGAATACGAGTCACCTATGAACTGGAATGAAGGGGGGTTTTGTCATGTTATTTTGTTTTTCTTCTAAAAGGCTTTAACTAGAAGATGAGAGTCCTTGATGGTATGAAGATCTCTTCAGACATTCATGGACCACACCTGTGGACTCACTCCCACATCAGAGAGAAGTCTACAGTGCTACTTCAGCTTGGGCCCGGCTGACACTCAGTAGAGCCTCCTGTCCCCCAGCGCTTCTAACCACAATAGATCAAGGCACTCAACAAATGTGGGAATGCCAAGAGGTCTGAAATGAAGAGGAAAGGCAGAATAGGAATCAGAAAGGCAAAAAATAAGGGCCTTTAGTTCTCACACCATTGTGCCTGCTTGGGAGAGTGAACGGAGTCTAGTTTAAAGGAGCAGGTTAGAGAAATGTTCTTTTCCAGGTATCGATAGACCTCCCCCCTCCACAGCCTTCTATATGTCGTCAGTTCACGGACGTGTTGACCTGACTAAACTCCAAGCTCTCTGAGTGTTTATCTCTGGAACATGTCACAAATAAGGACACAAGTTTGGTGGTTATTCAATGTTTGATTGGTAAATGCCCTGTGGATACACTCACACATAGATGGAATGAAGCTAGACAGACAGACAGATGGGTGGAAAAATAGATGGATGAGAGGGTGGATGGGTGGGTAGATGAATGAGTTGGTAGATAAATACTAGGTGGGAGGATGATGAAAAATGAATGAATGAATGAATGAATGAGTAGATGGATGAAGTGATGGACAGTTGAAATTGATGGATGGATGGTAGATGATAGGGATGGATTGATGGATGAATGGGTGGATGGATGGATGAATGGATGGGTAGATGGCCATATGATATAGGAGGGAGGTTGGGAGTGGGAGGATATATTGGCTAGCAGATGAATTGATGGGTTTTCATTATTAAGATTGCACACACTAATGCTTCATCTATATTCTTTAAATATAAAGCATTCGGAGAAAAAGATGTGCTGCTTCCAACTTTGGGAGGAAACTTCCTTCCTTTGTTTCTCATTAAGAACCTACTAAAATAACCTATTGACCTCATCCCTTACTGCTATCCGTGCCTACTTTACTCGTGTACCTTCTCCTGCACAGAAGTCTCAGGACTCTAGCCAGCCTTGGGCAGAAACTGACATTCCAATATTGGTCTGTGTATCTTCCATCTATTTTCCAACCTCGACATACACATTTCTGTGATCTACTTTATCAGAATTCAGTGGGGGGTTCATGTTAGGGATACAGAGAGCCCTGCCCTCACAGAGAAGCATTTTCTATGCAAAAGGAGCCAGAGAAGATGGTAGAAAGGTAGACTATGCTCAGAGCGCTCTACAGATGCTGGCAAGTGAAGAGCAGGTTTCCCTCAAGGCAGGTTACCAGTGCCACTCATGCCTAGGAGAGCTTGGAAGGAGAGAGACTTCCAGTTACACATATACTCACCCATAGGAAATGGAGGGCCGACAGCAGCTCAGGCTAGTGCTACAGTCCGCAAAACAGAGAGGGCGACCATGGCTTGAAGGAGTCCATGTCTCCCTCCCTTCCTCATTTCAGAAGCGGGGCACTACACAGATTTCCCCAGCCAAGGGAAAACAAGCAAAGCATATACTGTACTAGACAAATGCTCAAAGCCATGCTTGAGTGGGTTCAGAGAAACGACTGGTCTAGGGACACTCACTGTAGCACAAAGTGACAGGAACCAGTAAATCATTTCAGATGAGGGTAAATTTGAGATTCACAGAGGTCCCAGATCACAGCCTCAGACATGACAGAGACATGGTGGCCAAACAAACAAACAAAAA